CCATACCAGTCGGGGGGATTGTCCCAGCTTTGCTTCTTCAGATCGCAAATGACGAACTCTATGCCGTCGGCCTTGCTGGCGAGGCTTAGGGCTCGGGGGCTCAGAGACAGAGAAAGAGGGAGGGGGAGGAAGAGAGAGAGAGAGAGAGAGAGAGCGAGCGAGCGAGAGCGAGAGCGAGAGCAAGAGCGAGAGCGAGAGCGAGAGCGAGAGAGAGGAAGAGGTTCGCAGCTCTCCTCAATCTGCAGCTGCTTCACAGAGGGCTTGCCTGGCACATCCTGGTGAAAGGCGGAAGCTCACTCTTGATACTCTTCAGCCTGCCTTATCCCGCCTTGAATGGAAAATCTCGCCAAATGGACTCTCCTTTCGGACATCCTGGCATGGCTTCGGGCTTCCTCCAACCGGGTTACAGCCCAGCCCAAAACCCGAAAGACTTGCCAGGTGAGCCATGCAGCTGACAATGGTCCCAGCCCGTGTAGTAATACAGCCTGGCACAAGGCACTCCAAGCCGGGCCAGGACGATCGTTGGCGGCCACGTCTTCGCAGGCTTTGGAAAAGTCCTCCAAACCTAATCTCCAACCAAGCCCGAGCCGCGTTAGCGGCATGGCAAAATACTCAGATCTGCAGCGTGGATTAGCTTGCTTTGCGCCTGGTCTTTGCAGAATGAGTCCGTTGCGTGACAGAAGGAGACTTCGACGGCTCCGTTGGTCTTTTTGCGGCATAGATAGAGCTCGGAGTTTGTGTGCCCCAGTGGGAATGCCTGTGACACTACGGTTCAGCCAATGCTGCGGCTGGCCAGGATGGAACTCCACTTGCAATGCGCAATGCAAGGGGCACAGCAAGGTAGTCACAACGAGCGAGCAGAAAGCACCTATCCCCGCGGCATTCAGGATGCCAGGCGTAACGGCGCCGGGAACCAGGTACGCGCCTCCGCCACGACAAACGAAGACGAAGACTATAGTCCGCCGGTACCGGAGGATCGGAGGAGAGGGACAAGAAGGCGAGCTCTGGCTTGCGAGGGCCCTGTTGTGATTTTGGCTGGTCTCGGCCTGGCGCGTCCAGGCCGCCTTGGGCGGCAGGCGGCCAAGGCGCTGCATCACCTGCGCAGTGTGAAACCTCGAGCTGTGTTCTCAGAGTGTGGCGTGACGTTTGTGGGGCCTCCTCCACCTGCACCGCCTCCAGCCTGACAGCTGAGAGCAGCTGGTGCTCCGTTGACAAAGTTCCTTCTAGCGCGTCTGGTGCATCCAGTGGGCCTGGGGCATCGCAGCCAGACCTTGCACGGCTGCAACTCATCCACTGAACAGTGGCTCATGTTGTCTCAAACTCCTGCCTGCACGGCTGGGCCCCTGGCATGAGTCACCCACTTGCACAGACCCTCCCCACCACTCCCCAACGCTCCCAGCCTCACTGTTGGGGCCTCGCTCCCGAAGTTGTGGGAACTTCCTCTCATCGCGATGAGAATAAAGCAGAAAAGTATTCAAGTCTGGGAAAAAGACCATGCCATGCTCTAAATTTGCCCGGGGTGCTTCTCCAGCTTCTGTGCAATCCGCCTCGCAGGTGCAAGTGGAGAGTGGAGCACCCTCAAGGCACAGCAATGCCGCCGCCTCCCCTGACCACTGGAGCGGAGCGACGGCAGCAGAGGGCGAACGGCAGCTGTCGCAGCGTCAAAGAGACTTTGAGACCGCAACGAGTCCTAAACCCTTAAAACGCTCAACAGCTCCGGAGTTGTGCACAGCGCAGCTGAAACAGATTTCGGAATATGCGGCGTAGCATGGCACAGCGATGCAGCGCCTAGAACAGCTGATATCTGAGGTTCCACGGCAATGTTCAAAGCGCTTTGAACCTCCGGTACAATGCACGCGACGCTTCAAGCTCCGGCTGGGTCAAACCGGGACGAGGCCGGGACAACATAGTTCCCGTAGATGTCTCGAAGAAGCTCTCCTTGCAGAAGGATGACTGCGGCGGCTTCCCGATCTCCAGCTCGCGTCATGCCTAGCCCTCGAGGATCCGCCAGCTCGGTGATCATCCGAGCCCTGTCCTGACAGGTTTCCCACTTCGCACATCTTCGCACACTAGTCGCACACTTGCAAGCGACAGCTTTTTTTGGAGCTGCTCCTCGGCACTCGCAAGCTGGAGGCATCGTTCAACCACGTTTGAGCTGAACTTCTGACGCGAGAGCACCTGCCGGCAGGATGCCCCGCCGCCGGGATGGGCCTCTCTTTTGGAGCCGAGGTCCCGGCATTCAGGCGCCCCGTCATGGCAGTCACGATCAAGGTGCTGGCCTGTTACGGTTGCGGTTCTCTCTCTGCGGCTCTGGGCTCTGCATGGCTCTGCCTGCGGATCTTGGAGGCCGAGCACGTACTGCACCACGTAGTTGCCGAAGGGATCCTGAAGTCGCCCCATGGGAAGATAGAGGACGAGGGATATAACAGTGCGTTCTGTGCCTGGATCAACGTCAAGGAAGCCCTGCATATGGCACCTCAGAGGCGCAAGCCGTGGGTTTCCGCATAAACCCTGTGTGAAGACGTCCTGCCTATCAACATTGTTCGATCGCTGCCCTTTGCAGCATCGATGCATCTTTGAACTATCCTCAAGGACGCGCAAGACCATGACCATGCCCATGCCGAATCTATGGCAGCTTGTGCTCCTGCAGCCGTGCCGGTGCGAAGCCACGTCTTCGATGTCTTTTGCCACTGCCCTGGCGCAAGAAATCTCGTGAGAAATCAAATGACTTCCGGGACAGAAACCGGCCGCGCATGAGGTGCCGGCAACATTCACTCCAAGGCACAAATATCCCTCGACCCTGTGCCTGAAGATGAAGCCGTGGGCATCGCTCGGGAGTGACTCGGCCAAGGCGGCAGTGCACAAGAAAAGTGCTCAATTCAGACTCTCAGGTCTTCTCAGTTGCTAGCAGAACTCCCGACCCGAAGCTCAAAAAAGACTCAGTTACTGAGTGTGAGGTTTCAATGACTCCCATGACTTCTGAGACTCTGCACTTCGAGGCATCTTTGTACCACGTGGTTCCCATTCGGGTCCTGGCCAGGGTCCCTCGGACGCTCCGAGACACGTCACAGCACTGGGAATGCGCCGGCGCCTTCGTGAGCGTGACGACGGCGAAATCAAGGGCCCCCTGCCACGGCGTCGTGGCGGCGTGACGTGAAGCTCTCGCATGCCGCATGCCCCTGGCTCCCAGAAACTCAATCTCTGCGCCGAGGCACCACGAGCCGTGTCATGCAGACAGGCACCATTCGGACCACGTCAATCAGCTTCTGGCAGGGACATGGACTGGACGCAATCATGCTCTGGGACGCAGGCGTCCTGCACGGCTCTGGCTCCGTGCATGTTCAAGGAGATGTTCACAAGGCTGCCATAGGTCTTGTCTAGCAGCACCTCCCAAAAAATTGAAGCCCAGCACCAGACTCCACGAGCTTCGTGATCGGCCTCGAGCTGTCGCGCGCTGGACATCTCCATGAGCTTCTGGCAGAGGTAGTTCCTCGGCTCTCAGAAACCAACCCAGGGACCCAGGACGCAAGGCAAGACATCTTCTCAAGGGCACACAGGCACACCAAGTCTCCCGAAGGGATCCATCATGAGCTCAACTGCATGTGTCACAACCTTCCACAAAGCTGCGTGCAAAGGTAAAACTAGCAGACCTTGTTTTTGCTCTCCGATTTTCCGGGCTGCTGGCCTCACTGAAGACGGCCGCGAACACGTCAGGACCGCCCTGGTGCTCGAAGTGTGTATTTGACCCGGTGCCAAGAACACCCTCACTCCTCCTCGCCTCATCGAGCTTGTGCTGTAGCATCCTGCAGCCCGCCTGGTGGGCACGACATCGTGCATCGCGCGCCCTTCAATACACAAAGCATGCGAGACAGTGCGGCGACCTGGTCCTTGGCGATGCAGTACACGTTGTTGATGTACGCGCTGCTTTTGAACATCTCCTCATCAAGGCGCTCTTCAGCTGCAGCCTTGGCATGGAGCCTGAAAGTCCTCCAACTGCGAGAGCTTGAAGGCACTCCTGCAGACGCTGCAAGCGCTGCAGGGCTCACGAATCCTAAGACGCATTCTGCAGCTCATGCGCGGCCATGCGCGGCCTCGGCTTCCTTTCCACTTCCCTGGCGAAAACACCAGGTGAGTGAGGGAAGCGAAGAAGCGGAGGCGAACGGGAAGAGGAGGAGACGAGGGCCCACGTGGCACGTGTCGGGAGTGCTCCACTTTTGCGGCACCGGCACCTCGAAACGAGACAACGAGACTGTCCCCATCACCAGACTCAGAGTCTTCCTTGGACCCAGTGTCTGAACGGTCCTGAGGGAGCCCCTTGGCCGAGCCTCGGGTCCCTTCTGGTATCGGGTGCGGCGGCACCGGAGCCTCGGCACTGCAGTTGCACCCTGCGCCGCTTTGGTTTGTGCGGAGGCCAAGGCAATGGCCCGAGCAAGTGCCTTCGGCCTGGGCAAGGGAAAATGGGAACAGGCCAAGCCCTTCAAAACGAAGCTAAGGGATTAGGGAGTTTTGGTTCTTTAGAGCTTTGGAGTGCTTCAGAGACTTTATGCTTTAGAGGCCATGAAAGCTGAGCGCGCTGCTCAGCTGCTGCAGCACAAGGGGTCGGAGCGGACCTGAGACATCAACATGTCGCGGAGCTTCCCTGCACGTTGAAGGGGAGAGCAAGCTCCCTGCGCTGGCAGTCTGGCGATGGCTCCTGTGGCATCTGACAAGGGACAAGACCCCTAGCTGCCCTAGCTTGCAATGGAAGGATTTTAAGTGCCTCTATCGGGACTTCGGCTGGCTAAGGACACCTGGGGCCACCGGCTGCAAGCGGCTATCACGGCAAACATGCAAACGGGCTCTGCACGTCTTCACGAGCCGCCCCGGCCCTGGCCACGCCGGCCTGGCTGGGCGCTTGTCGCACTTGTCACGCTTCAACTCAGCCACGCAGCTCAACTCTCCCTCCGCTCCCTCCGTAAAAGCCCAGGGACTGCAAGGCCAGCGTTAGGGAGCAGCGACATGGGCACCTGGTCTTCCGAGCTGGTCATGCGGCATACGCCTGCAGCGAGCCGGCAAGACCCGCCTGCCCCCATGGGTAGGACGCCGGCGGCACCCCCTCAGTTTGCTTACAAGCACAAGTCTTCAGGACTCCTGGCATTCCTTGAGTTGGGTGCTGTGGGGTAGCCCGCAGTCCCAAGCAATGGCTGATGCCTGAAGGACCCGTCAGCGCGTCTCAAACACTCCTGAGAAGCACATCGCCCGCCTAAGAGTTGCTTCCAAGTACCTCGGTGTATTTCCGCTGGACCCCACAGGGACAAACCAAAATCAAAAACTTGTGAGGCGACTGCCAAAAGCCTCACGAGGCCTCGGCCCATGAACACCGGACGTGCTCGTCAACGGCAGCCCTGCAAAGGCTCGCGGCTCGAGCCCTCTGACTCTTGGCGTCTGCAACAGCACGGGTCCTTGCAACGATCCCGTCGGCAACGGAGGCACCTTGCTCCAAAGAAACTGAAGGTTCAGGCTCAAAGACTTGCACAGCCATCCACTTACGCCCCGATGTTTATCTGTGAGCCTGAAGGCAATCTAGGAAACACCAGAATCCCAGGCCGGCACACCCAGACCCGACGTCTGCCCAGCTGCAGCAGGATCCTTCGAATGGAGGACATGGGCTTGCTCCAAGCTATTCGGGCAGCATGTAAATCACGCTCTCACAGCTCCTGCGAGGCAGCGTGCGAACTGGCAAAGGCATTCAGAACAAGGTGCACGCATCCAAATCGGCATGAAAGTGTGCAAGATGCAAATCGACGCTACCGCTACCACATGCAACCGACGAGCCACATCATGTCGCGAGGAGAACACCATTGGAAACGCTGGAACAAACACTGCGAACCTCACCCCTTGCCCGAGTCTTTTTGAGGTCGTTTCACTCATGCCCTAGGGGTAAATCGTGCAGGGACAAAGATTGGCCGAACACGGCGGCTTTTTGGTCTCAGCCTTTGCCTTGGGCTACGGCTCGGGGCGAATTAGTACAAACTGTGCCCAGGCCAGGCCTGGCTTGCGCGGAGTGGAGCGAACTGGTCAGGAGTCAAGACATCTTCAGACGGCGCCGGGCACTGCAAAAAGACTATGCCGTCGAGCTGTCGGCAGCGGCTTTTTACTTCCGCACACTCAAGCTGACACCATGGCCAGAGACCTGCAATGGCAAACCTTCAGCATGTGCTGGCGCCACGTGTATATGAGGTGCCTGGGCACACGAAAGCAGTTGTACTCCGCTACCGAGCCCAGCCACCGGAAAGTTCCTTTCCCTTCCACATGCTGGCCATGTGCACTGCAGGCAAACACCCCGGCAAACGGTCCAAGAAATCTGATACCGCTACGCATCACAGCAGGTAGCAGGTAAGAACCAGTGAGGGTTTTGACTGTCTCGAATGCCAGCGTGATACGGGGCTTCATTTTTCAAAAACTTATTTGCAGCGCTTCAAACGTTCGCCTCATTTGCGAGCAGAGCTTCTGCAGTTGCTATCTTGCGAACTTACAGTCCGAGAAGAAGGAAAGAAGTGTGACTCGCCGATCCTCAGTCATGTGGTCACTTGGTGCCATGCATCCCAGCATTCACATGTCTGCACACATGCACGACACTGCACGACAGCACGACAACCTCGCACACAATAACCAATAACGTGCACAAGTCTCAAAGTGGGGGAGCTGGCTCCAGGAGAAATTTCAAGATCCACTGCTCTTGTCGCATGGTCGCCTTCGGCAGCATAAGCACGTGAACGGGACTGTGTGAACAGGACTTGAAAAGCACTGTCAGGAAGACTGTGGCCAGTTTCAGTTGCCATCGCAGCCCACCCGAATGAACCCAGGAGCCTTCCATCTCGCCGCCACCGCAGTATCCCGGACTCTGCCTTGGAGTAGTGATCAGCGTGAGCTTTCCAGTATGCCAGGCTAGACGATGCTCCTGTGAAATAACGGCAACTGAGCTGCAGTGCTGCCATCTCCGCCGACCAAACTAATTCACTCCAGCTCGGCTGCAGTGTCCATGGCCTGCGCCTACGGGCCATGCAGCTGGCCTGCATTCCCTGTACAGCTAAGAATTCATCGGAGTCGAGGATCACGTATCGAAGCTACACATGTGAAATGCGAGTTCACTGTGTTTGCTACGACCAGGAAAATTTTCGTTCATGTGAACCTCAAAAAAAGCAAAACTGAAGAACAGCTCAAGGCAACCCTCATGTTTGCTGGGGTTGCATTGAGCTGACCTGCTCATTGTAGGATCGACACTCGGGACAAGAAAGTCCCATGCCAAATGAGAACAAGTCAACCACGCCCAAACATGCAGTCAATACTCGTGATTCAAAATGTGCGATCCTTCCCTGAATGTCAGGACAAGAAGATTCCAGATGCGTGAGCAACAGCCTGGTAAGCTGACTGCATCCAGCTCCCGCGAAACCCGGGCCAGATCCACATTTGTGGCTTCCCAGATCTGCGTGTTCCAAAGAAACAAGGTGAATGACCATGCACTCAGCGCCGGCGCAGCCGAAGAGTCTTTGTGACAAACTCCAAGGCTGTGCGAGTTGCAGTGAGCTGTGCAAATTGAATTCACTTGCGGTAAGCACAGGCTTGGCTGAGTTCTCTGCAGACATGCGCAATGCTCTGCAAGTGTGCAAATATGCAGGCATTCAGCAATACTCGGCAATAGAGTGCACATGCCATCAGGAACTATGCATCCAGAGGGGGATAGTGAGCAAAGCACACCTTGTGAATACAAACGTGCATGAATACATACATGCATGCATGCTTTATGTTACAGAACACATGTGCAAAGCTCTGCGCCTACCTACCTACCTACATACATACATACAGACACATATACATACATACATACATACATCCATGCATGCATGCATGCATACATGCATACATGCGTACATGCATCCATGCATACATGCATACATGCATACATTCATACATGCATACATGCATACATGCATAACTGCATGCACGCATACATGCATACATGCATAACTGCATGCACGCATACATGCATACATGCAATAGTGCATACATACAAACGCACTACGTACATACATAATTACATACATACATTCATGCATGCATACATACATACTTACGTACATGGCGGGGGTTGATGCATATTGTTGTTCGTTGAGTGACCATTTTAACCATTTAATACCCATTGCGAGCGCCCTTGCGTGCTCCTGCGCGGTTGTTGCGCACACACTAGGTTTTTGCAGAGAGCTACAAGACCAATTGCAGTAGCAGTCGCAGTACTAGTATATGTAGCAGTAGTAGTCGTGGTAGTAGTAGTAGTAGTAGCAGCAGTAGTAGTAGTAGTCGTAGTAGTAGTAGTAGTAGTAAGCAGTAGCAGTAGGCAGTGGCAGTAGCAGTAGAAGTAGAAAGCAGTAGTAGCAGTAGTAGTAGTAGTAGTAGTAGCGTAGTAGTAGTAGTAGTAGTAGTAGTAGTAGTAGTAGTAGTAGTAGGCGTAGGCAGTACGCAGTAGGCAGCAGGAAGTCGGCAGTAGGTAGTAGGCGGGTGGAAGGCAGCAGCAGCAGCATTAGCATCACAGCGGTAGCACCTGTAGCTTAAGCTGTAGCGACTTGTGTGCTGTTGAATTCGGTTGGCACTGCACGAACACATCCCTCGTCTGGAAAACTCAGCGAATTGACCTGGCATACTACTCACTACTCATACAGAGCAAGGCATTCTTTCAGGTCCATAAGGACTCATTCCTGAAGGGCAGACAGCTCTGCAAAACAAGAGACCCAAACCATGATTGCCATCACATAGGAAACCGGATCCGAGTCAGAACTCTCAGCCGGCGGCGTCCAAAGCAAAGCCGACAAGAGCAATCGCAGGCTCCTATGGCGAGTAATGGAACTTTGGGCATGCTGTGGCCACAACAATCCTCGTCACTGTAGGGCCGGGCACTTTGGAACAACGATTTCGCCAGAGAGGCCCGACACATTCGTTGATGGATAACTCACGCTTGTATGCTGTCGAGGCTATGCTGCCGTCGACAAGCTTCTGTTCAGAACGAATTCGAATGTTGTTAAAAGATCCTTTGACTGAGTGGGAGTGGCATCCCCGGCGCCCCCGATCTACGCCTCCCCAGCACCACATCATTGTACCTTTGCTTGTCGAGAATGGACAAAACATCTGGATTCTCAGGCACCACTAGCTAAGCAGCTGCGTTATGTCACTGGCAAGTTTACGCGGTGCGGGCCGTGCCTCTTTTCATCGCCCCTGTACCACGTCGACCACCTCTTAGCAAGGGGAGCGCACGGCACGACAGATTGCCGTATATACAGAAGCCCTTCCAGCCAAAACCATGCACAGCTCGTCTGAAACTGACATCGACCAAGCATGTGACCGATTGCACGTGCCGCACATGATGTAAACAAACTGCAGCAATGAAATCTAAATTTGTTTCAGCGACCTTCCATGTTCATCTACCACGGGCTCGGGTTTTGTACCGGGGGCTGCACGGTGCAACTGCTTCCGGAAGCCTGTCACTGAAAACTCTCAGGCCAACACCGAACACATTCCCTCGCGGAATCGGCTGCTGCGCAGCTCGTGTGCTTCCAACGCCTGGGGGCAATGCTAACAAATTACTACTCTCCTGACCTCTTCAAGGCCGTTGTACACACACCTAACCATGCAGATGTATGTATGGTCGCGTGGGTGTGTTCTTGTATGTATATGTATATGTATATGTATATGTATATGTATATGTATATGTATATGTATATGTATATGTATATAACTATGTGTATGTGTATGTATATGTATATGTATATGTATATGTATGTGTATGTGTATGTGTATATGTATGTGTATGTGTATATGTATATGTATATGTATATGTATATGTATCTGTATATGTATATGTATATGTATATGTATATGTATATGTATATGTATATGTATATGTGTATGTGTCTATGTATATATGTATATGTATATATGTGTGTATGTATACATGTATATATGTATTCAT